GGTATTTTTTTTTTTTAGATTTCTATACCATGTATGTTGTATATTAGCCTGTGTGTGCCTGGGGGGGGGGAGGATGTCTTCAGGACCGTCCTCTTTTTTGAATGTTCAGATATGGCAACCCTACTGGAGAAGGTGTCAGCCAAGATGTTCTCACTGCCTCTTATGTGTCGGATAAGGTGATTGTATGGTTGTACTTGTAGCGCCCACCGAAGGATACGTTGGTTGTGGTTATGCATGGTGGAGATGAATGTTAATGGTTTGTGGTCAGTGTAGACTGTGGTTTGTTCCGGGTTCTGGTGGAGGTAACATTCAAATCACCGTAGGACCAAGACTAGTGACAAGGCCTCCTTTTCGATGGTTGAATACCTTATCATTTCCACCATTTTACAAATTTTATAAGAAATTTATTTATACTATAATGATAATAAAAACATAATGTCTTTACTTACGACTTCAGAGTAGACTGCCAGCAGCGTTGATCAGCGGCAACAGACAAGGTAAATCGTTGGGCAGCAACATACCGAGATCATAAGCTCAGCACTAGCAAAAGACAAGATATCTCCACGATTAACACTGGTCAACAACAAACTGAGGTGAACTGTGATCTGTACCATCAGACCGTTGAGTTCAATCAGATCATAAGATCAGCAACAGACACAGAAAGGAAAGATAAAGGACTCACAACAAACGTCCATAATCTGGTGATGTAGTTTGTGAGCTGAACCACAGATGGAGGTATAAAGATACAAGGGTCGAAACAACTTTGGTTTAGATAGTCTTGGGAGGATACTGGGCGTCTGGCCGACTGTATGAGACGTATCGGAATATTAATGAATCATTGTTTTTCTAACTGAGGGACACAGGGGGGGTGGGGGGGTCGTATAACGTAAGGGGAGGAACTCACTTCTATATATAGCGGGAAACAAAATGGCTGAGATTGTCGTCACTTATAAAGGATATAACATTAAGTTATACCTGTAATAAAGCTCAAGTTCTTCATCATAATCGATTTATTCACTTTACTTTAATACTCTTTAACATCTGTTTATTTGTAGCATGGAAAACAAAAGAAATACTGAAAAATTCTTAAGAAAAAAAAATAGTGTGAAACAAACATGAGGCGAGGTGGGTGTGGCCAGCACCAGGTGGGCGAGCGGAACAAGACATGAACATTGTAAAAACCCTCCCGGCGGACCTGCCTCTACCCTCCTACCACTGTTTACACTGGTAACTCGTTGTTTATATATACACAACAGTGATGACGACCACATTTGACTGACTGATTTTCTAAACAATGATAGAAGTGATCGCAAAACTAGTGATGAAAACAACGTGGTTTTGTCGCTGCAAAAAAAAAATGCATAAATCTTAAATCCGGTACCCAGTAATATCCGAGGATTTTGAAAGTTTAAATTCTACTAACACTTCTGTTTTCTGAACCACCGAACTCATGTAAGACTGAAATGCAGTATTTGGATATTAGAATGTATTTTTATCATTATAGATAATATAGGTGTAGTGTCGGTGGCCGTCATCAAAAATAGTCTCCGTAGTAAATTTTCACAAATATTAAACTTTTTCCTGATTAAATGTGCATTAGTGAACATATACATTTTAGTTTTTTGTATAACATTTGAGGAATTTTGTCATTTGCTCTTCAACAAGTCCTATATTTTCTTATCACCTTCGCCAATTTGTTTTGAACTGCTGCTGTATAGACTTGTAGTCTATGTAAAGACAATGACCAGACTTGACCAACACTGGAGCAGGTTCAGATACATTCAGGAGCCAGTACATGCCCAATACTTGCCAACAGTGAGTAACAGAGACGTGACTGATTGCCCAAGCGGCTAACGAGCCAATCAGTGATGAAGAGGATAAATGTTAAAAAAAGAAAAAGTAAGAGTAATTTCTCTGTTTACTGCTCTTCACTCACTCGCTCTCACCCACAGTTTTCAGTACAGAAAACTAAAAATATTATCGTGGTTTGGAGGGGATACTATGGTGTTTTATTTTATTTTTTATTTTAATAGTTTCATTTTTTATTGCCACACACACACACACACACACACAGACACTAAATAACAGGTGAATTAACCATAAATATGTTATATGGATCATGCAGTAAATACAACTTCCAAAATTACCCTCATGTCTTGTCTCACCGCGGCCTGACGAGCTATAAGTACGGTATAGTTGTGTCGGGCCTCAGCTTGAGACACACCAAAGCGGTTCAGCCTCGGAGTGGTCCACCTTGCTTGGCCACTCTCACATGGTTGGTTCACAGCGGGAGAGGCATCAGGTAAATCCTTACTCTACTTGGCCACTCGCTTCCTGGCCAGTCATGGCGGGCCCGTACTTGGGAGGCCTCAGGGTATCCCACTCCTTGGCTAGCCGCTTCCACAAATAATAATGAATAAGTATAATAAATAATAATGAATAATATTAATAATAATAAATAATATAAATAATGATTATAATAAATATTATAAATAATAATAATAATGATAATAATAAAAAAACAATAATAATAATATATTTAACACAACTTAACCTACATTTAACCCAACCTTGAACGAGAAGTAAACCAGATATATTATGACCTCAGCAAAAAAAATCGATCCACCAAGAGTAACTCAGTGTTGGTAAGGAATATGTATATTATTGAAGACAAGTACTGTATTGATGTTCACCTTCCTACTAATTTACCTGCGATAGTTTGTTTTCAGCGCCACCTACCTGAACCTTTGTGACTCACCTGACCTATGTTCATTACAGCCTATCTCTGAGGTGGTGGTGGGGGGAGATCCTTAATTGGGGAGGGGGAAGAAATATCGTATGGATGGAAGGTAGTTTTGTTTTGTTGTCTTTTTTCTTTTTCTTTTTTTGTTGTTGTGTGTGTGTGTGTGTGTGAGTGTGAGTGTGTGTACAGTCTCTTCACCTTCAAGACTCCTGCTGTGTCTCCTCGTGGCAACACACAGTAACTGGGTGCCTCGCGGCCCCAGGCTAGACCAGCAGAGGATTTCGGAGCAGCAGTGGGCCTCAGAGGGACGGCGTATAGGCCCACCAGCATGTAGACAACCCCTGGCACCTATCAACCACTGCCCCGCTGCCTTGTGGATTAACCTTTGTAGGTATAAGGCTTTAGGAGTAAACCCCGAACGAAAAATCTGCGGTGGAGCTCCCCATCAGGCAGACACAGGGCTCCAGTAAGACCCCAACGGCGGTACAGGCGGAAGTGACCAACGTGGGAACCCAACGACTACACCGGCTGATGAAGGCAATGCACGATAAACAGTCTGCTAAGGCGTCAGTCCATTGGAACTCTCCTTCTCCCCAGTTGCTGCAGCTACCTGCACCACTGGATCAGGAAAAGGGAGAGCCAAGATATGTGGTTGCAGCCTGCGCTCCTGCCTCACCACCTAAATGAACTCCCATGCAGCCATCATCCAGCTCATCATACCTCTTATCATCATCAAAACCCCTATATCCTCAAAAGTCCTATGGCGACAGACGAGTGGCGACGGGGACAGAGATGACTATAGTCTCAACTCACAACCCCTCTATGAGGAAGCACACAGCGTCCATCAACAGGTCCGACTCATCACGGAGCAAAAGTTACGTCGCTACCAGATAAAGATGTTTAAGAAAATTCACAGCCGCCTCTTCGACCTCTGGGATGAGTTCGACGAGAGCAGCAGAAGCACATCCCAGCTCCTGAAGGCCTGCACCCAAATATGCAGTAGATTTTAACTGACATGTAATGAATATCGTACCAAAACTGGCTGCAGTATTCAATTAGGTGAATCCCTTACCTTGTTCATGTTATATATAAATACATTTTTATATATAGGATGTAAACATATACATATTTTTAGATTGTGTGAATATACATTATACCATAAATCATATGACAAAATTATTAATATGTGATCTGCTGTAACGAAATAAATATTAAATGAAATGAAAACTTGCACAAAGCTTCATGGTTGGCAAATCAGTGATCAAAACTACAACCTGCTTCTAACGTTACATCCAGCCAGCAGAGCCCCTACACTCTGGTAATCGTTAATTTAATTAATTTATGATGAAATAAGTTCATTTCTTGATTATAAACTATAATATTAAATAAATCGTTCATATATGGTAGCATTAGCCCATGTCATACTGTATTTCCTCAGGATGTCCTATTCCTTCATTCCCACCCCCCAGTGTCCCAATACTATACTACCTCCTCATCTTGTCTCCCTTACGTAACAATGAGACACAATTCTATCTTATGCATTTCAACAGAAGAAGAAAAAAATTAACTATTTATTTTAACCAATTGTGGTGTCCCTAATGTCAGTACACGGCAATAATCACACAACAAACACAGGACCATGAAATTCTCACTCCACGTGGACTAGGAGACTGCCCTCATAACTAATGGTTTGGATGTTGTGCCCAAGAGTGATGTGGATATGTTTGTGCTGCTAAGTAAATCTCCTTATATTCCTTACATTCACTTGTTGAGTTTTGTATATATTTTTTAAGTGTCCTTGAAATTATTTATAAAGTTAAAGGAACAGTCCTCAGGTTAGAGTTAGACGGACGAGACTATACACACACACACACACACACTGAGGTTTATTGCATTAAACACTTTACTTCTGGTGTCATTTCTGCTTCTTCAATTGCTCTCACTGCCCCTACCCCACAGCGTGCGTCTCTCTGCTCATACTGTATACTAACTCAGGCTCTCCCCCTAACTAAACTGTTTCTCCCTTTCCCCAACTTGTCAACTCCAAAAATTCCACCAGCGTTACACCTTTGGGCTGCATGTGCATCTTCATGACAAATTTCAACTCTTCATTATCAAAACTGTAGCCGTAGATCGTGAACATTCACAGAAATAACAAACACTGTGCATTATATATATATATTAGTTAAAAGTGAACATTGAGGTAACTTTACAGAGTGACATTGGCAATCTGTCATACAGTAAGAGTTATCTGTACTCACTCTGGTTTGACTGGCGAAGTCTTAATGGTGGGAGGCGGAGACGGTGCCACCTGCTGTGGCTGCTGCTCCTGCTGTGGCTCCTGCTGTGGCTGCTGCTGTGGCTGTTGCTGTGGCTGCTGTTCCTGCTGTGGTAGCTGCTGAACCTGCTGTTGCGGCTGTTTCATGTGCACTTTCTGGTGCTGAATAACCAGTCGGTGGTCCAGACTCTCGTATTCCTGCTCCACCTGCTGCTGGTCGTGCAGTAGATCCTGACCCAGCACGTTCTTCTCTGTCGGGAACTGTAGTAGTCGCTGTAGTGGCGGCGACGGTTGTTGGTGTTGATGGTTGTGGTGGTAGGAGAAGGTAGGGGAAGACAGAGGTATCTGGAGAGGGAAGCTGGGGACAGCCAGGGACATCTGGTGGGGAGGGACCGGAGGAGGATCATCCAGAGGGAAGCTCGGGATGAGTGAGGGAGAGACGAGGTCGTCATGATCCAGGTGGTTGTGGTAGTTGCTGGGCAGGATGGGGACATTGTCGTACTCAGACATTTTGGATGAGATGGTTGAGTCCTTCTTATACGACGACACGTTGTTCACACCTTCATGGCCTCCTCCAGTAAACCTTCCCTCCAGATACACACGCACGCACACACACACACACACACACACTTTAGTCCAGTATCTTGACTTCACTAACTCACAATAAAATGACGTATTGATTTCTCAACCCTAAACAATACACGAATGGAAAGAATCTCATATTCTTGTTAGTTTTGTATTTATGTGAACGAGGCAAACGGTCCATCTCCCATAATCACCTGACTGTATACCGCAGTATATTACTTTAAACAACACAGAACATTAACACATAACGTGAGTCTGTTCTTCACGTCATCCACATTATATATAACTTATTTTCTACGTCAGGCGGGGCGGGGGGGGGTTCAGGAGAGTGAGGTAGTGGTGGGTGTGAGTGCTGTGGCGGCCTCCCTGGCAGCAGTACCCACACTCGGCCACGGTGGTCACAACAGGTCACCACAACAACCTGCAACACAACACATATTATTATAACACATGGAACTACATATATTCAAACACATGTAAAATTTAGTAATGAGTAAGATAAGGTTGTTATTATGTAATCCTGAATGAGATCCAGTGTATTTATGTAAGGTAGGGTAGGGTAGGGTAGGGTAGGGTAGGGTAGGGTAGGGTAGGGTAGGATAGGGTAGGGTAGGGTCGGGTAGGGTAGGATAGGATAGGGTCGGTAAAATTCTTAGTGTTCGTGTTATGAGAAAATTTTTTGATAATTGACAGTGACCTCATTACGGATGAAGGAGTCATTCTGTAGCTATATGGTCACTGTTCGTTTACGATAAGGTCATAATGAAGGTCAGACTTACTTGGGGGTTATAAGTAAGGTCATTCACGTTTGGGGTATTTTTTTTTTCTAGTCATAAAATATTGTTTCCATAAATTCGAGATAAAAAAACATGACATGATAAGAAAATTCAGCACCATCACATCACCTAAGTTGTAGTATTTAGATTGTCTTTATCTCGAGGGTTTAGGGGTATACAATGTTATTTTATCATCAGAGGACAATGTTACCCAGCCCGGAGGATCACTGCAGGTGTTTTGTCTCGTATCTTTATACCAGAAAAAAATGATGTTTTTTTTGTTGGTATATTTTTTTCTTTTTTTGGGTAGATAAAGGAAAAATAATATTAGCAACAAGTGTACACATGAACAGACAAATTAAAAAGAAAATGCTCATTAAATAAATTATTTCGTCATGAGTGATACACTTAACTAAAATAATTACTACTTGTTGTTAACCAGAAAAAGTTTGTTAACCTTTATTTAATTTATGTATATTGATCAACAATGTTCTAATACCTTGGTAATACAGTCCTCAAACATGGACAAAATACTAAATTCCTTGAGGTTGTTGTTGATGAGAAACTTAGTTGGAGAAACCACATACAAGCCATTCACAGTAGAGTCAATAAACAGTGCGGTATCCTGTATCACACTTGTCAGTCACTCACTCTTGCAGCAATGAAAGAAATCTATTATGATCTTGTTTACCAACACTTGATACACTGTCACACACTACGGGGGACCTCTGGCTCTTCAAAAACACAACCCTTGGTTACTGCAAAAGTAGAGTTGTGAGGACAATGACCTACTTGAAAAAAATGATCACACAAACGAATAATTTGCTAAATGAAAAATTTTAAGATTCCAGGATATTTACACCTACTGCTGTGCCCCATTTGTTTACAAATCTGTCAATCACTTGCTTGACAACAATTATTTCCAGTTCCGGAATAAACAGAGATACAACTTAAGGCACCCAGAGCTACTAAGACCACCCCCCATGCGCTCCTCTCAGTCCTAGACCTCCATAAAATATCACGGTGTGAAGGTGTGGAACAACTTACCCCCACCCATTCGAGCAAAGACTACGCTCCCTTCTTTTAAATCATCTCTTAAAAAATTTCTATTGTCTAAGTATAAATATTTTTTTTGCAATACCTACTCTATATTCCTGCTTTTATTGTACTACCAAAATCGTTTTGTCAGAAATTATCATGTAGATAGATAGACATTACCATTGCAATAAAAATATTTGCCAACTAGACATAATACTGACAGCTCTGTCCTCTTGTTCCACTTTAATACAACCCAAGTTGTACTGCTTCCCTCCTTATCATATTTATGTATATAAATTCCACCGCGGTAACATTCGGATATGTTCTTATTACCACCATACTATGTGTACTATTCCAGATGATGCTAAATGTTACATAATACTTCCTTTAGATATATGTATAGCATATATCAGGTGCCTACAAGATAGCTCAGGCTCTCAACTGGCTCAGCCATGATAATATTATGATTTTTATCCACTCTGTACCTGTGCTCTTCTGGCTAAATAAACTGTTTCAATAGCAATTTCAATAAACATTCCCTATAAGCTTGCAGGGTTCATGACAGCCGTGTTGACAAATTAGAAAGAAAAAAATGAGATCAGAGGAAGATTTGGCACCTCACGCTAAACATAACATAACATAACGTAGAGTATATAAAGTAACATAATTTGACCTACGATTAACCTAGCCTAACCTAACCTAAGCTAACATACTTTGACCTAACCTAACGTTACATAATTTGACATAGCCTAGCCCAACCCAACCTAACCTAACCTAAACCCTCCAGGTACCGTTAGAGTGTTTAATCATCAAGTGAAATAAGCTGGGGTGCATAATTTTCACGTGATCCAATTTTGCTTTTGAAAACTGCAGCGTTATTTCACAGCTTCAGTGATGGATATTCAGTACAATAATATCGTCTCCTTATTGCTAATTATCTTGTCTGAAATACTGGTAACTCGCCCCTGACGCTCCCCATCAACCCCCCCCCCCCAAAAAAAAAACCGGACCTAAGGGGAAAATTTTGTCAAAAATCATCATTATTCTTGTCACAAATTGCAATTATCTTAGGCTTAAACAAACAATTCTGAATGAACCTACTTTTGCGTCCGTATATCTCCCTCCCCCTCCCCCCTCCCCAAACAGTGACCAGGAGGCTCCACCTTCTCACCGTCTCATGACTTCCCAATGAACAATATTGAAAGGTCCGTCTCCTTTAAAGAATCCTGAGTTCCGTCCTATTGCCTTTTCCCCTTCTCTAAGTCCTGGATATGCTGATGAAAAACATCTTTTTATTATCTCCCCCCCCCCTTCCCCCTCCTCACCAAAAAGAGAGAATGTGAGAGAGAAGGTTAGAGGGGAATGGGTAGATAACAGTGTGGAAGTTGAAGGGGTGGAGAGGGAGGTAATAGTTGACCTGCACCTTACTACCAACTGGCTAAGCTTAGTTTGGGTGCGTGTGTTAATGTACAGACGTACCCCCTGACTCCATCCAAACATAATTATGTTAACATCTAGAATAAACTTGTCCAATAGGACAAGTGTGTGTGTGTGTGTGTGTTTGCGTGTGTGTGTGTATGTGTATAATGACTTTGAACCTCCAGTGAACTCCCATTTAAATACTGAATCAGTGTTTTGAAAAGCATAAAGTAAATCAAATGTGAAAATATGATTGTGTATGTGTCTAGACTCTAGACTATGACAGCACGCCGCTTCTAAAGTGGGTTATGCACGTTTTTACACATTATACATTGTATACCTTTGGTTCGCCATAAGCCTGTCACCACTTTGTCACAAGGCGAGTGGCGAGCATATTGAACAAGCCTGCTCTAGACCAATCCTCCGATGTATGAAGCAAACACTGACACAAAAATGTTGAATTCATCTATGACGACATAAGTAGCGTCACATATTAATTTTGACCTAAGGTTTTCTTTATATGGTGACGGAATATAATTATCACAGTGACAACACCGAAAACCAGGCAAGATTATTTAAGGTTGACTAATTTAGGACTAACAACGCTGGGTGTTTCTGCCTAACATCAGCCACAGTAATTGTAGAAAAAGGGGACGGAAGACACGACACGCTGGTGGCCCAGGGGCTAGAAGGCTGGCAGTGAGTGAGCTGCCATCAATAAACTTGACGGCTGTGGTGTGGAGGCAGCCTAGAATATCTGAACTAGAACACAGGGCACAACCCCCAGACTTAAGAACAATAATCAGTCTCAGATTTTAACTGAGATTTGTATAAGGGAGAGCTGACTTACTATAAAATATATCTTTGTTCCTGTGCGAATGTTACAAGTAGTTAGAGGATATTACAGTTTGCACTAAATGGCTGCGGATTGGCTGAGTTACTGCCATATTTGGAAAGAGGTGGAACATTGATGAGTATCCCATGTCAGAATTTACTGAACGGTAAACTGTGCAGCAAGTGACAGAGAGGAGACAGGCTGTCATTTGAACTGAATTAAGGAGTAAAGAGAGTGGTCATCGCCAAAAGAGTGCATGAGTTTAGTTTACTTGTGATAGACAAGAGGTTGTTGATGGAAAGGATAAACAAGGTTAAAGGGAGACCTGAGACGGAATAAGAGAGCGTAAATAAATAAATAAATAAATAAATAAATAATATTCGATATTGTTAAAGTAAACATCGTCATTATTCGGTCCAAATTTCAGCTTCCTAGCTCAAAAATCGCCTGAGATAATATACCGTCTGGACAACAACCAACCATCGTGACAAACACTGACACAAGAGTACCAGCCTTAGCTCCTCACAGCACCTGGAGAGGCCGGTGTACAATGACTGACAGATCAGCGTTGGGTTAATGTCAAACACAGGCAGTTTGGATAGTACGCCTTTGTACTGATCCTTATCAAAGGATTTGCTGATATCAAGTGTACCTCTATGAGTGATTCAAGAAGTGATGATAGCAGCTCGAGACATAGACCAGTATATCGCTGGTGGATCTGGCTGGCAAAACCACACAGATGATAGTAAAGATAAAGAAGAATTCGGAGTACAGGTATTAAGTCTTGTATTCTGACCAGTCATAAAAACTGTAAGCCTCTTTCATTTTTCTTCAATGCATATTTTCATCTCTTCTCTTCACTCACTAATACTCTGGTCGATGTTCAACAGAATTTTCACCATGTGTACCATAACATTCGGACTGACCCATAACCACCGGAAAGGCTTCTTAGTTCCAATTTAAACTGTACATAGTGTACTTCACAAGAGTAGAATACAGACGTTCTCCATTCTTTTCCATTCGACAGTTCTCAGCTAGAATTCAGTTCCTGAATCTGTACTATCGCCCACCAATGAACTACAGCAGTTCTGAGCCCGTGTCAGAACACATTTAAAAAGCAAAAAGATTCAGAAATGTATTATTTATAATGGCTTTAGCCTTTAGATTATATTTTTATTCAAATTTTGGAATTAATCATTTAAGTGGGCGAATAACTGCCAGCAGCTGTGTTAATTTATCTTGAAAAATTATCCCGATAACATACAAATAAGAATAGTATCCAGGTAGCGGGCCTGTCTGAACACACTGGTACTGTGGTAATACTGTGAGCTGAGAGAGAGAGAGAGAGAGAGA